TTATGAAAAGCATACTGCATAATCTGAAGTAGTTTTCTGAGGATGTTCAACTAAATGGGAGCACTAAAATCACAAAACATATTTAATGGTTGTATTGCTGCTAACAATATGCATGGTAATTTCTAAGTGGTATTTTCAGACTTCACCATTTAATGTAAAATGGATTAATGATTTTGTGGACATTTGAAGCCTGGGGCACATGACTGGTTAGATTCCAGGCAGATGTCAGTTTTCTGAATGTAGATGAAAAACATTTTCTCCCACAAAGTATACAGTCAACGCACTTTACAGTATATTCTGTGAAGCGCTTTGAGACTTCTTGAAGACATGATAAGGCCCTATATCAAATGCAAGAATTATTATTATTATTTTGGAAATACCTTCAGAAAAAGGAAAGGAAAGTTAATAAGATTGACTCCTTTGATAGGGAGGGTTGAGACTAATAGTGTGGTTCTTTTGTTCATCTCCCCCTTCTGGGCTACAGTAGCACAGATACACATTATTTATTAATGACTTTTATACCTAATTAAGTAAGAATACTGAAAGGAGACGGAACTGTCAAATCTAAAGGGGGTAATTTTCATATGTTGTATTCTGCAGTCAATAATAAAACAGCTGGAAATCAGCTGTATCCTAAGACATACAGATATATAAATTATTTGAATAGATTTAAGTAGAAATTTCCAATCACAAACTTCATGTTAGTAATTAATTTGTGTCATTGTTCAATTCAACTTTCATTTACTTTACTACAGCTGATGGCAAACACCTTAAAATGTCAAGTACAAGATAGATTTGTACTTGGCATAACTTTAATGTTTGTATATTATATTTTTCCTATTCAAGAAATGCTTTCTGACATGTTATGAGTTATTCCCCTATGAGATCATTTGTGTTCTGGTTGCAATACCTAAACATATTGTGCCTATTAATCTACTTTTTATAAGCTTTTAATCAAAATTTAAATAATAGATAAAATCCGTTATTGTGATTTTATTATGTTCCGAGTATAAGTTGTGAGGTTCAGCAAATTTGTGGAACAGGATGACATTTCTCATGCCATTACTATAGCATGCCGGTAAGTAACATAAATACTCTCGAAAATTTTTCACAACAGTGTTCAAAACCCTGCATCTCCAAGCGGTCAATTGCATACAAATCCGGATGATCTTGCCTCTGAAAAGGAAGCATTGTTTTTCTGAAAATTATATACTAGGATAAGAATACATTCCCGATGATGGTAATACAGTTGAAGAGTCCATCTGGAAATACGCTAAAGTCTTTGTTTTTCTGCATTGTTTTGTTTATTAGTTTCCCAAATGTTGACAGACTTATTAAAACTCAAAGGATTCTTAGAACAAAGAAGTCAAGGAAGTGTCTAACGTATGAAATATTTTGTCTTGATTATTTTATCAGAATCTCAGTTTGTGTAAAGTTATGTGAAACGCCTTGTCTGCAGTTGGGAAGTGAACCATTATATACTGGTTAATACTCAGATGATAGTCACTTCTTTAATTTTCAATTATGAAAGCCAAATAAGATTAATTAGCTATTTCTAAGTCATAAGCGGTAAATAAGCGACTTTTCACAGTCAGTAATAGTTTGTTTTTTAAAAAGTGTTACAATGTCCAATGTACCAGAAATATGACTAAAATATGGAAACGGCATCTTCAACTGAAGGTGGCGACAAAATACTGTAGAGCTTTTTCGCTGTGTATTAATAAGTAAGGATCTCTCTGCCTTTATACATTCACTATGTACCACACTTCATTTACAGCGATTTTGTTACAGAGTAAACTTATTTTTACAATAACTATGTGTCAAACAACAAATGAATGTATTTATTGTTACTTACTTCTGGGTTTGGAATGCATTAATGCTTGAATGTTTTTCACCACTGTTTCATCCTGTGGCGATTTGTTCTCAATTCCTGCTTTTAAGGGCCTATATTTATTATGCATCGAAACCAATAAAGATTGGTCGATACTCATTCCATTCCTTGTTGGTTACTTATTGCATTCCTTAAGGAGGCATATAGATAGTACTATAGAACTGTGTATCTTATTAAAACTACGTTGTGTGAGAATGCATCAAACTGTGGTAATACGTTATGCCAATTAATGTTTGAATTCATGTTTGCAGTTACAGTATCCTGTGGAGTATTAGGTTATGCACATATTTGTAGTTTGATTGAATTGTACAAATGAGTCACATTTGAACATATTTAAACTGATTTCAATCTAAGTGTCTGTCAGTAGTTTCATGGATTGATATGTTCCCGCTTGTTTCCCAGCTCGGACACTGTGTTAATCTGTACTAATAAAGATGAAATGTCTGTGTATCTGTATGCCGGTGTATCCGTCAATCATGCAATAACCGATTGACATAGATACATGACTTATATCTCATCAGAAAGGTCTTGCAACTGGCAGTGTCATGGGCATATAGGGGATCTTCTATCGTTGATGAGCTATATCAAAAAATGCTTTAATTAAGCCCCAAAATATGAGGTATGTGTCGTATTCTGCAACTACGTTGCGACAGAGGAAAGCACACATCATTCAGAGAGATACATCTATATTCTGCAACAAATGTATGGCACTTTTTTCTGGTTATCATGGGAGCTAGAGTCCTCCCATGTGGGACAGACAGAGATGGAGACTGAGAGATAGAGAGATAGAGACTGAGATAGTGAGGGAGACTGAGTGAGAGACAGGGAGAGAGATACTGGGAGAGAGAGACTGGGAGAGAGAATATATTATAAAGTGTAGTGACTGTGTATTTTGTGGGAGAGACAGACAAAGACTGAGAGAGATAGACTGAGAGAAACAACAACAACAACAACAAGATTCCATTTATAAAGCGCCTTTCACGTCAGGAGGACGTCCCAAGGCGCTGCACAGTTGGGTCATGACCCGAGCAGGGGGGAAATGGTCAGGGTGAGGGGAGGGAGGGAGCAAGGAGGGGGGAAATGGTCAGGGTGAGCGGAGGGAAGGGAGGGAGCAAGGAGGGGGAAATGGTCAGGGTGAGGGGAGGGAAGGGAGGGAGCGAGGAGGGGGAAGAGAGTCGAGAGGGGAGCTGAAGGCACGGTCAAAGAGAAAGGTTTTGAGACCGGCCTTGAAGGAGGAAAGGGAGGAAACAAGGCAAAGGCACTGGGGGATGGAGTTCCAGAGCCTGGGGGCTGAGAGGCTGAAGGCCCGACCACCGATGGTAGGGCGGTTGGGGCGGGGGACGTGGAGCAGACCAGAGCCAGAGGAACGGAGGGTACGGGCAGGTAGGTAGGGGGATAGTAGGTTGGAGAGGTAGGAGGGAGCAAGGCCGTGAATGGCCTTGTAGGTGAGGATGAGGATTTTGAAATCAATCCTCTGGGGGATGGGGAGCCAGTGGAGGCGAGCGAGGGTGGGAGTGATGTGGTCGCGAAGCCTGGTGCGGGACAGTACACGAGCTGCAGAGTTCTGAATGACCTGCAGTGTGGAGGGAGGTGGCGGGAAGGCCGGCGAGGAGAGAGTTCCCGTAGTCCAGCCTTGAGGTGACAAAGGCGTGAACCAGGGTTTCAGCCGCGTGAGGGGTGAGGTAGTGCCGTAGTCTGGCGATGTTCCGAAGGTGATGGAAGGCGGTGCCAGTTGTGGTGCGGATGTGAGGGAGAAAGGACAGCTCAGGGTCGAACAAAACGCCGAGGTTCCTGACTGGCTTTGAGAGGTGGAGAGTGCAGCCTTGGATGCTGATGGTGTCAGCGCTTGAGGTGCGGAGGCGCTGACGTGAGCCAATCAGGAGAGCCTCGGTTTTTCGCACGTTGAGCTGAAGAAAGTTGTCTCTCGTCCAGGACTCGATGTCGGACAGGCAGGCTGTCAGGACATCGGTGGTCGTGGAGTTGAAAGACAGAGAGAGAGAAAGGCTGGGAGAGACAGAGAGAGAGAGAGACTGGGAGAGAGAGATTGAGAGAGAGAGAGACTGAGAGAGAGATACTGAGGGACAGACAGATAAACTGAGATGACAAAGAGAGACGAAGCGAGAGTGAGAGAGACACTGAGAGAGACTAAGAGCGATTGAGAGAGACAGAGAGAGAGAGAGAGAGAGAGAGAGAGAGAGAGAGAGAGAGACTGAGAAAAAGACTGAGAGAGAGAGACAGAGAGACTGAGAGAAAGACAGAGAGAGACTGAGAGGCAGAGAGACTGAGACAGATAGAGAGAGACTGTGAGAAAAATATATTAAAGGAGTCCTTCCACTGAGTCTGCCCAAAAGGAATCCTCCCACAGGAGTCCTCCCAGCTAAGTGTCGATAAAGACAAAATGTCTTTCTGTGTGTCTATCTGTGTGTCAATCTACATCCCATATTGGATCCTTTGGTTTCAAGTGAAGCTACAACAGATATAACTACTTGTTAAATAAATGAGGCGCATCCAGTTCCAGACTAACCATAGCGATATTATCCTTTTTGCCCATAAAGGTTTATTGTAGATGGGATAATGCATTTGAGAGAATAATTAATTTCAGTTTATGAATTTAAGTGTTCAGAGTAACAACGTTGAGTCAGTCATAGTCATATTGCAGTTCAATGAACCTTTTTGGCATTAAGAAAGCCAAATTTCTTATTGTTATTATTCGCAAACATTTGCTTAAAATTGACTGTTGATTTTATTCAATAGGAAACTTTAAGAAGCTTTTGCAAAAAATGTTTAAACTGATCATCACTAAAGCAAATGTTTTGATTATTAAAACTTATAGCAAACCACTTATCGGCAAATATCACATTTTCTCAGTGTCTGCCTTGTGCTTACTGGTGTGGCTCGATTTATCACTACAGGAAATGCAAACCAATGAATTTCATAGTGAATGGATTTTTCTGTAATATGTATTTCGAAAGTCTGACCACCCTGTTTTGTTTGTTTGTTTGTTCCTCTTTCCAGATACCCTGGAATTCAAATGGATGAATCATCCTAATTTCAGCTGACACATTCTGGAGTCACGGGGGGAAAAGCTAAACTGTATAAAGTCCACATTTTGGAGACATTTGTTAGTTCAGATATTACGGAATCAGGAACCATTATTATAAACAATAAGTTTTACTCTATTTTGGCATGGAATGTGAAGATAAAGAAAGGAGAAAAGCTATCCCAGCACTTGACTCAAAGTTAAAAGGATTCAGTCATTTTGACATGGACATAATTGGTAACATTTATTAATTCTTTCAAGGTTTCAAGATTGTTGTTTTGATTAGCCTTTCGTTCTTACCTGTAACTAATTGTAGATAATTTTATGACTATGGATCCACAAATTGCAAAAAAAGTTAGATCATGTATTTCTGAGGAAGAGTTACTTTGCTTCCACTGACAGTGGTTGCTTTGCTGCTCAACCCTTATAATAACAATATAATAATCCTTGCATTTGTTATAATGCCTTATCACATCGTTGAGATGTGTCTTTACAGAATATATTGTAAAGTGGATTGACTGTATATTTTGGGAAAAACACAGCAGCAGTGTCCCACAAACAGTCATGGATTGAATATTTTTTTTAAAAAGTGATTATTAACCTCAGAAAGCAATCCACCAATCAACTAACAAACAGGTTCCTACTTACTGCTTGGTAAACAGAGGTGCATGGAATAGAGAAACTTCCCTAAGGATTTGTCCTGCCTGGGAATCAAACCTCGGTTCTCACGCTTGAGATTCAAGTTTTCTAATCACTACACTATGGGACTTCACGTTAACCCTTCTCTTTGGATGGGATTGAAATTAATCCGGTTCAATAGGAATGAGCTTTGGATGCTCTAAACTACATCGTTTAGATGTTTAGAGCAACCAAACTATCGGCTGCTCCATTGAACTACATTGAACTATTTTCTGCTAATTTTATGCCACTACTTTTGTTGTATGAAAATAGTTCAAAAGAAATATTTTAGATAAACACAGAAATTAAAAAAACTTGTTGATGTATTGAGCATCAAAAACTAATCTAAGACTGAACTTCTTTGACTACCTTTACAATGTGTTATGTATATATCAACATTGAACTTTTTATGTTTTTTATGTAGTTAACATAGTGTAAAAATGTCAAAGAGTGAATATGACAAGCATTTATTCAGGGTCTTTGTAACAGATGGCTGAAATCCATTCAGAAGTACCTCCTGGAAGTTTTTTATTCCCAGGAGCTGGCTCAGATTTTGAACCAGTGACCACAAAATGAATTGAATCAACACTAATTCTGCAATACAAGTGTAACATAAGTTATGTAATATGCAATTGTATTTTCCAGTAGCAAAACTTGTTTATTCATTTTGTCTGGGTAAGAGATGGGAATGTGGAGGATGTTGAAAAGGAATGAGTGAAATTGTGCAGGCAGAGAAGGGAAGAAATGAAGAAAGAAGAGATGGTCATCTCAGACATTAGGGTAATAGCCTTAGCAGGGCAGGAAAAGCAGCTGTATCCTAAATAGATGAGCAAATTGCTTTCAACTTTTGCCAGCTCCCCATGCTGGTAATAGTATCAGGATTCTTGATAAACATTCCCTTCCCATTGATCACCAAGGAGAATTGATTTACTACCACCAATGTGCGATTTGTTCTGATTTTGCTAACCTTATCATCAAACTTTTGTATTATTAGGAGTAAGACCCAAAAGGAATAAATGCTGTTGCTATCAAAGTGGATTATTCATCAGCTTACTTTTGTTAACGGCGGCAGTTGTTTTCTTGGGATACAAATGTAAGTGTAAATTGCTGAACAAAAATGTTATTTAAGTTACAGGTGACTAGAGGGCATGAATTTAAGATAATTAGCAAAGGAAAGGGGGGACGTTTTGGAGGATTTTTTAAATACAGATTGTTAGGATGTTCTGCAGGATGTGGCAGCCAAGAAATCATACTAGCTTTCAAGAGGGAACCAGATACATATCTAATATTAGTAATTTGCTGGATTATGGAGAAAAAAAAGTAAATGGGATTGAAATAATTGGTGTTTCAATGAGCCAGCACAGGCATGATGGGCCAAATAGCCTTCCGTGCTGTAAATTTTTCTGGTTCCAATTATTATTGAGTAAAATCTATACTACGCACCATTTTCATTGAAAATAAAACTAGTTGAGACATAAAAATGAAACATAGCTTTTCAAACACAAATCGTTTTAGGTTTGTTTCTAGTAAATTATTGACAAATTAATGCAATTTTGATCTGATATATGTATATATTAAATAAAAAATGTGAATATAATTAAAATGGCAAATTTGATAAATTCCTGTATAACTAAAATAGTTCAAAAATATTGAATAATTAAAACAACTCACATTATTTTGTGACTTATGAGTTATGATCTCTTCCTTACTCATTGGATAACTGAGCTACTCCCCCTTGCATATCAACTGTATGGCAGGATGGCAGGATGAGAAACATTATTTAATACATCAACACATTATTATGTTTTACACATGTGTCTCTAATGTGTGTCTCTTTTAGTTTACACGATGAATAGGAAATCTGGTGAGCCTACTGGTTCAAAAGAAAAATATACTGCACTCAAATTGTTCCTGGAGAAAATAGAAGATTCTAATTCCATGCACCATGAGGGCACGAATATTTCCAATCATATAGATGACAACCTGATTTTTACCAAAAGCTTTGAGTATATATGGAAACAGCTAGAGATCATCAATTCAGTCATCAAAATTAATAAAGTCAAAATAAATAAAATGGAAGACGATTTGTGGGAATTGAAGATGAACACAAGTGAAATGCAAATGAATGGAAACTCATTTGTTGCAGGTATTTTGAAAAATGTTACACAACTTGTATTTTCTTATGTGCAATTTTAAGAATGATATTTAATTTAGTCTCATTTTCTAATTCATAATTATGTGAAGTAATTCTGTATTTTCAAAAAATGTTTACTTCATATATTTTAGGCCCACCTGGTCCGATGGGACCTTTAGGTCCTAAAGGTAACAAAGGAGATCCCGGAATAAAAGGTAAGGAAAAGTTGGAAAATGAAACTTTAGTAGGTATATCATTTTTTTTCTAGAATTTGGATATTGTTTGACCTATAATCAATTTATATCATCAACAGAATATACAGTCAATTGGCTACACAGTATATTTTGTGAAGTGCTTTGAAAAGTCTCTATAAGGCACTATATCAAATGCAAAGACACACATATATGTATATATATATATATATATATAAGATTTCTTAGCCTGTAGCTCAGTGGTTAGAGCACTCGCCTTGCAAGTGAATCAACCTGGTTCAATTCCTGGCAGAGCAAAATGTTGGGCAAGTTTCCTTACTCCACACGCCTCTGTTTACTCAGCAGTAAGTAGGAACCCAGTTGTTAGTCGATTGGCAGATCGCTTTTCCGGGGGTAATAATTCCTTCAAAAAAAAATTGGTCGCTTAATCCATGACTGTTTGTGGGACACTGCTGTGTGCAATTGGCTGCTGTATTTTGTCCACAAAATATAGTCAATTAACTTAACAGTATATTCTGTGAAGTGCTTTGAAATGTCTCGAAGATCTGATAAGGCGCTGTATCAAATGCAAGGATTATTTTTATTATTATAAGATTGCAACAATTTGTTTTACATTTACGATAGGTGGGCATGTCAACTGCACATAAAAATGGACAAATGTTTAAAAATATTGCACCGCTCAATTTGAATTCTCAAGTTTGTTTGCTGAATTTGAAGAAGTCATAGAATCTCAGTCTCTTCCGAAATGAATTTGTCATGCATAATGTTAAGTGTCCTAAACTTTCATTGATGCCAAATGGAAAAGACTTGACTAGAATTGTCCATAACAGTGTAATTTATATAGTATTAATAATCTGTATTTATCTAGGTGACCACGGCATTAAAGGAGATAAAGGGACCAGAGGACTGAACGGAATCCATGGGGTTAAAGGAGAAAGGGGTGTTAAAGGAGTTTCGGGTAAGTAAAACAATATCCAATTTTTTTTTACACACACCCTGTTTTGTGTATTACTGTTATTCTCCTTTTAAGATTACCCCGTGTGATGTATTATCTTTCAGCCAAAAGATAGGTAGAAAATCTGTTATGTTACTCTGGTTGTTGAAAATTTGGACAAAACATTAAGTTTGCTCACCTGGCCTTGTAAAATTGAATGTGTAGAGATCTTAAATCTTGTTTCATCAATGTATTATCAAAGTTTAATCAATTCATGATCAATGTTCTAGTGACTGTTTCCTTCATTCTTTTCACTTATATTGTCCATATTTTGTCCTCTATAACATATATCTAGGTGCAAATGGATTAAAAAGTGAAAGAGGGATTCGAGGAGAGCCAGGACCAGTTGGACCTGCTGGTGCTAATGGGCAAAATGGTGAGAGGGGTCAACCTGGAAGGAATGGTAAGTTTTCAATGTGAATAACTTTTTTTTTGAAATAGTTGTCATTTGTTGCCATTTTTAAATTGAAACACGTAATATTTTTTTTGTATTAGGAGTCAATGGTGTACCTGGACAGAATGGTCAAAAGGGAGAAACAGGTATTTTTATGGAATTAAATTCCTGATTTTAAAGATGAGCTTTGAGCAGCTAACTGAAGGGATTCAAAAATTAAAGCCTTGGTTTCATCTGGTATCATAGAAATGAAAGGGAAGAGATCCAAAATCATGCTCATCCCGCCCCCACCCATTCCCACTTGAGTGCTCAGCCAGCAGTGAAAGCACTTTCAGATGTTCTCCTGACATTAAATGCACTATATAAATGTAAATTGTACTTCAGGTATAAATGGATTAAAAGGTGAAAGAGGGATTCGAGGACAGCCTGGACCAGTTGGACCTGCTGGTGCTAATGGGCAAAATGGTGAGAGGGGTCAACCTGGAAACAATGGTAAGTTTTCAACGTGTGAATAACTTTCTTATTGAAGTAGTTGTATAAATGTTGTAATTTTGAAATTAAAACATGTAATATGTTTTGTGTTTTAGGAGTCAATGGTGTGCCTGGACAGAATGGTCTAAAGGGAGTTAAAGGTATTTTTATGGAATGAAATTCCTGATTTTAAAGATGAGCTTTGAGCAGCTAACTGAAAAGATTAATTTCTATATATCTATGGTAACCTTGACTTTGATTTTATTAGGTCAATTCCAAATGTAGGTAAAAATAATTGTAACATTCGTTTTCTTCTACAATTACTTGCCTGACCAGCAGTGTTGTTATAGTTTCAGCTAAATTGTACAATGCTCAATTAATGCATTGGTCTGGAGACAGTTTGGAGAAACAGCAGAGAACATTTTTAAAAATTTTAATGTTTAGGTTTTTGACTGACTGGAAGAAATGTAACCACCTTCGTAAAAATGATGTGGTTTTGTTATAAAAGAGCACAAGTTACACAAAAACTTACTTCAAGTTTGTATGATCTTATTGCATATAATTTGAGTTATTATAACTCTATATATTGTCTGTAGCATTGTGCATCAAGCTAATGGTATCAGTTAAAAGTTTGTATTTAGAAGTACTTAAATTTTTGTTTGGGTGGATTAAACGGCGAAAGACATATTCAAGATGATTCTAAATTTATGCACTGCTTGTCTTCATCAAATTAGTCGATACAAAAGCTAGAGAATATACAAGTCTTATAAATAGGAAATATAAACTCACAGCAAAGACTATAATTGTCTAGGCAATAGAGATTTTGCAACATTTGAATAAACCTAAACAAAGTGAAATGCGAAGGCAAATAATCTGTTAAATTGTAGACTGAGATGAATAGAGTAAAATGCTAAGGAAATAACACAAATACATGCACAGTAATTTAATAATTTTTNATCATCATATCTACAAAATGTTAACCAAAATAATGACCAAAACTAAGATTAAAAAGTACTGGAAAGGCTAGATAGAAGAAAACATAATTTGGCTTCAGGATTTCTTTGCTCATTGAGGTAAGAGGAGCAGTTCAGATAATTCAATTTATTTTTATTAACATGATAATCAGTACATTTTAATATTAGCAAGAGGTTTAATAAAGTGGGAGGTTAAAAAGTTACTTGTGAAGAGTTGGGAGCAAAGGACGAGAAGCCATGATTAGCTAATCTCGAAGAGTATGAGTTGCAGTAATTGAGGTGTTATAATTGGCATAAGTGTGTGCAGAGTAAAGCTGCCCCTCCTGACTGCTATCTAGTGACGTGGAAAGTGTATGTACTGAAATTGCTTAAGGATATAATCAGGTTCAGATAAGATGTATTTGTGGTCGAATAGCTTGCTAATACTGTATTTAGTATCCATGTTAAAACGAATAATAAGGTACTGGAGACCTGTATCTGCAGAATGGTGAAACATTGTAAAGAGATAGTGTGGAGAGAGAATCTGTCAATTCTTTGGTCATACAAAAATGCTCTTGATTTAATTTTTTAGGTAGTCCTGGAGTCACGGGTAGCATAGGTCCCAAAGGATCACAAGGGCAGAATGGGGAAAAGGGAATAAGAGGTGATAACGGTTTGAAAGGAACACAAGGTGAGTTGTTACAACATAAGATACTATTCCCAAATTGTCAAACAACTTTAAAAACATATCTGTTTCTATATCTGTTTCCTCTCAGGAATAAAGGGAGCCTTAGGGCCTCCAGGATTTAAGGGAAATAAAGGTGATCGAGGTACGATACTTTGTCATTTCCAAATCATAGCTTCTTTAATATAAGCAAATGTCAGTAATTCAGAATTGTAATACAAAAAAAATGATACAGAAAAGAAAGGTTATTTGACCCATCAAGTATATCTTTCTAAAGATCGTGCAAAGTCCATCCTACATGAAATTCACCCTATCTATTCTGCTTTCTAAAGCTGGGAAAGCTTTTTATCCAACCACACTATTCAGAAATAACCCACAGAGAATATTTCCCTGCCAAGCAGTATGGAAATCCCAATGCATGACAGAATATCTGTTTATTTCAATCCACGTTTATTCCTATAATCTCCAAAACATTTACCAATGGGATACCTTTGTACAAAGTTAATTAGCATGGCAGGAATTGCTTCTTTCAGAATATGTTCTACATAGTTTGTCTTTGCATTTTTAATTCATTCTACACTATATTATCACACCTCTCAGCACCTAAGAAAAACCTTAGTCATATTTGGGCTCAGTGGTCTCTTTTTCCAACAAGATATAATTTACTTCTGCAAATTCTCATAGTTTACAATGCTAAAGGGCATGAATTCATCCTTTATTTCCACTTTCGTCTGAACCTCTCTGGTGTATCAATCTACTTTCAAAGATAAAGTTCAATAATATATTGTTATTATGTAGAGTTCCAAAAGATTGCTTTTCTCGGGGTAATAATCTCTTCAAAAAATGAATAAAAAAATTTTGGTCACTCAGTCCACAACTGCTTGTAGGACACTGCTGTGCGCAATTGGCTGCTGCATTTTGCCCACAAAGTAAACAATCAATTCACTTTACAGTATATTCTGTGAAACGCTTTGAGACAATTTGAAGACATAAGGCACTATTATTATTTAGTTTCTGGATTCTTATTTGGAGAAGCAACACCTATATTTCATAAGACAAATTATTTTAAAATGTCACATCATTTCAGCAATTCTAATATTTGAAATCAAATGTCTAGAAAAGTAAAGTAGTTACTTCATATTAAAATATTAGGTTGACAAAGTTTCTTTCGATTGACTGGATCATTGTACATGTTATCCATAAAATTAATTGTACAGCAAATGTTTTACTGATAAACAAACAGGTTTGCATTTTTTTATTTATTTTGAAATTATTTTGTCAAATAGATCTGTGATAGATATATTATGTGACATGATACACTTCAGCCATTTGCAGCTTTAAAATATTATACCATCGATACTTGACCTGTAAAATTATTGCACATGAATTTTATTCAGAACTGCCTTTATTTTCCATGATAATTAATCCAATAAGGTTCAAATAACTAATGTTTACTCTTTAGGAATACAAGGTCACTCAGGAGCAAAAGGAGCAACAGGTTCCATAGGTAATAACTACAAGTTGTTTTTCTGTCCCTTACTTGCTGTAGACATTCATTTTGGCTATTGCTTGCTGTAATCCATCTCTAATAATCTGGTTCCTCAGGAATGAAAGGGAATCAAGGAATTAACGGGTTGCCAGGCACAATAGGCCAAAAAGGTCAAAAAGGGGAAATAGGACAAAATGGTGAGTCATTTGTTACTACAAAATTGTACACTAACTTTTTTTTCATTCCGCTGAAATAGGTCTTTATGATTTCTCATGTTAAAATTGTATCATTAGTAAGTATAATTCCATTGCTATTATTTGTCCTTGTTGCTAATCATGTGAGATCAGTATTTATGGTGGTGTAAGATCATTGGCACTATTATCTGTTGGACAAAGTCTATACTTCAGAAGAAAACAAAACATGGGATGAGAAAATGCTGTTGAAACCATTTAAGCCTGCTCATTCCACAGACCATGAAAAAAAATTACCATATTGTAAATGAAGTCCACAGATTCTGTTTTCTGGAGGAACATTTTGCATAGACCCCAACACATTTTGAACATATTTTTATTTAATGATCATAGAGATGTGCTTAGACTCGCAGGTGTCTATACAATTATACCTAAAGTAGCATATCCACTGCTGTAAAGCTGGTACAAGTGAGTCAGGTCACCACAATGTAAAACAGAAACACAAACATTCCTGTATCTGCATGTCAACTTTTTATTTTGTTCTGGTCTAATATGTCTGACTGGAAACCAGAGACAAAACTTCACACACATCACTTCTCTAGCCTGAAAAACAGGGAAGAGCAACAGCTAGAAAAAAGTTTCTAAATAAAGACACGGGGAAACAAACGTTGTAATTGTTTTAGTCTAACCTGTAATTTATCTTAACAATTTACGATTGCTGCATTCTCACATGTTTGCATACATCAGGAAATGCACAAGAGAGTCAAGGCAAAGCAATAAAATAGAATGTACAGGAGATGTCTGAACATAATCTGAGAATGCATAATTGTAATAGTAAATGTTGTGCCAGGTGATAGGACATGTTCCAAATCAATGTAAAATTCTACTGACATTTTGGAGATGTCATTTGTCATCATAAAAAGATGATAAAAATGTGGTATGTGATAGTTAAGGCATGTCAGGTGATGGAATAGTGGCATATGCTCTGCTACTCCAAAGCACAGTTGATTCAAGTCATGTACATTTATTGGCAGGTGTCAGATGCAGATTTTTACAACTCCTGTTTATCTAATAATTAAGAATGATTTGGGTAACATTCTGAGTATGTTACTGGAGTGAAATTGGATAACACACATATCCCAGTACAATAATGTTCATTTTATTCTAATGTTCAAAATAAAAGAAACAAATTAATATTTTTATTAAAGTTACATTTCATTTTAGAGGAAACCAGTGCTCACTGTTCTGTAATTTAGCTGTTCAGATGGTATCACTGGGAGCTTGAGTGGAAAAGATATTGGTATGAACTTTCCACACACATGAACACATCTGTATTTTTCCTGATGGGGGATATCAGTATGGGAAACTGTGAAAACATCAAACACTGTAAATATAATTCTTCCTGCAAATTCCCACATGTGCAAAAGTTAAATAAAAAGCTAATATACACTTATTAAGGTGCAATAATGCAGTACAATTATTTTAGATTTCATGCTATACTTTGCAGTTCCTGTGCTTGCTAAAATATTCGGAGGTGGCAATCAAGGCCGTGTGGAATTGTACCATAAAGGAGAATGGGGAACATTATGCGATGATGGTTTGACCCTGAATGATGCCCATGTAATCTGCCGCATGTTAAACTATCAGAGGGCAACTAAAGCTTATACCATTGGAGGAGGTAAGAACAAAGTAGAAGTTTCCAGACAAAGACACAATAGACTGATGTTTTTTAGCCATGTAAAATCTCCTAACTTCAAAAACAGCAACAACCAATTGTGTGGTGAAAAACAGACTTGCTTGTTCATTGTACTGTTATGGCTATCATTCAGATATGAATGCATTTGTGAATACATTCTCGGCTCGGTTGTTATGCATGCTTACCACATAAAGAACACCCACAATATTTGTAATCTTTTAAAAGCTTATCAACAGGTTATCTGTTGGGCTATTGATAATTGTGGTTTGGCAATTCATTACTCCTAAAAGGTACTTTTGCATATAATTCTCTAGTAATAGCAATAATAATTAAACTTTTTTAATAAAATTATTGGTAATAATTTACTAGCATCTTACCAGGAGAGAAGTAAACATCCACTTTTTAAATATTGTCCATTGACATATTACACAGTACCATTTGTATCAAGAGTTTTAGATGAGTTTGCAATCCGCTCACCTGCATTCCAAGCTCACGTGGGATGTGTGGAGATTATAGCCCACAAGAACACATAATTCTTATCAGAAAAAAAGCGGAACGTAAAATAAAAGTGAGCAAAAAATTTAAATGTTTATTATTTCAAGAAACAATGCTCTTTGTTTCATTCCAGAGTCTTAAATTTGTATAATTGTATTTTATTTGTCAAATGCCTGAACAGCCACAAACATTTTCTTTCCCAATATTTTGTACAGAATCAAATCTTCAAAATCTCTGTAGTACATACAGACACAAACAAAGAATTACTTTAATAATGTAGATGTACTTTTGATATGACTCTTATTTTTATTAATTATGCATCTTTTGACTTCTTTTGCAATTCATTACTCCTAAAAGGCACTGGAAGAATTTGGTTAGAAGGTTTACGATGCACTGGACAAGAATTAACTATTTCTCAGTGTCGTGGACTAAGTTGGGGAACTCATGACTGTTCTCACAGTGAAGATACTGGGGTTACTTGTGTCCAGTTGTAGAAATCCTTGTCTGCTTTTATGGAAATATTCTTCATCTTTTAAAAGCTTGTCAACAGGTTATCTGTTGGGCTATTGATAATTGTAGTTTGGCAATGCAATATTCCTAGAAGGTACTTTCGCATATAATTCTCTGTAATAGCAATAATAATTAAAGCGTCTTTCTCTTTTTTTATAAAATTGTTGGTAATAATTTCTAACCCAGTTTGTTAGATTATAATCTTGTCCAGTTATAAACTAATTTAAAAAAAATATCCATTTCATTGTTAGAATATAATCCCATAAAACTACAAATAAATTCATAGAAATTATAACATTTATATATTATTTGATATAGCACATATATTATAATTATAATACAGTACAATTATAATACAGTATTTATCAGATCATATTTTTTACTTTATTGCTTTGTATGTAATAAATCAATTATCTAAGAAATGATTGAAATTTTAACCCACTTTGAATTATGCAGTGCATTCAATTAATCATTTATTATACGAACTATACAAATATATTAGGATTTTCTTATACATTCTAAAAGACACACCTTTGGTAACATGACATTTAATGTAATTAACCAGACAGAGAAAGGTAATGAGACTTGGCGATTTCTGCATAACATCAAAAATGTTTTTGGGCTAGTTTTGAGGATACAACATATTGTATTACAAAAAAAATACATTAAGCAACTTAAAAGGAAAACAATGTACTTTCATAAAACTAATAAATTATTGAATTAAAATATTCGCATTGTGGGCAATATCTTTTCAATGTACAGTGGAATCGCTTTTGCCGTATGTCAGGTAAATCGGGTTAACCCTGGACGTCGGGTAAATCGAACAATACACTCAGCCCCAATTCATTTGTATTCTTACCTGTTTGAGTATGCCTGTTAATTCAGGTAAACATCTGGTTAATCCAGGCAAATCGGTCGCTTTTGAATGTACACACTCAAGCCTTCTGTGTCCCTCCCACGAGGGACTCCAGGATGTAGATGGGAGGAGTCAAACTCTCATTCCCAAGTGGCTGGAGTTGGGCTGTCAATCACTGAGGGGCGGGGGAACGGGGAAGAATAAGTGAGAGAATGCGAGAAGTCAAATTGCGATTGATTGGCAGCTGAGGTCTTTGTGAATGGGGTGGAGTGTCCATCCATTCACAAGCAGCTGCAGGCTGTCAATCACATCTAGCCTTTCTTGTCACAGCAAGATGACCTAACTTAACTAAAGTGGTATGACTTGGAAGAAACCTAACAGAAGTGCTTTGAGACATCTTGAAGAAGAAATAGGTGCTATATCAAATGCAAGGATATTATAACCCAGCGTTAATTGGCCCATTTCACGTCCAATGGGAATGCCATTGGTAGGGAGGAAGTGCCTTCGCCATCCCTCTGCTGAGTGGGAAAGTACTGGACTGTATTTTGCAGCCAAAAAAAATAAACTTTATTGAATTCCTTGAGAGAATTTTAACTTTAACTGGTTTGATCATAAACCGTCATAGGTATTAGCCTGGCTCAATTGAAGCACTTTTGTTTCTGATTTAGTTGGTTGTGGGTTCAGGCTGCAAATCAGGACTATAGATTCAGTCTAGTATTAGCCTTTCTTGTCACAGCAAGATGACCTAATTTAAGTAAAGTGGCATAACTTGGAGAAAACCCAATAAGAAACAAACTAAAATCTAAACTTTTGCCTCTTCAAGTTCAAGGTATTGTGATTCTCTGCTTTCTTCCTTCTCCCACATCAAACTCATTGACAGTGAGATCTTCCTTGATGGTCCAGTGAGTAAAACCAGTTAGTGGACCACTAATCCACAAGTTCATATGTACAATTCCTGCCTATCTGATCTTAATCTATGCCAAATGATGCATTACAATAGGCTGTAGCATAAATAGATTGTTTTCACTTGTTGGTGAGTCCAAAGTATGAGGGCATAAATAGATGATAGCTACTATCAGTACGTTTCCAGCCCAAAGAGGAAGGAAGCAGTGCTGGATCTAGTTCTGGGAAATGAAGTAGGGCAAGTGGAGCAGGTTTCAGTGGGAGAACATCTGGGATCACAACATCATTAGATTCAGAGCGCATATGGAAAGGGACAAGGAGCAATCAAAGGTGAAGATACTCAACTGGAAGAGGACAAATTTCAGTGAGTTAAAAAGGGACCTAGCCAAGGTGGACTGGAAAGAAAGATTCGCAGGTAAAACAACTAAAGAGCAGTAGGAAGTCTTCAAGGATGAGATAGCACGGGGACAGAATAAATACATTCCCACAAAAGGGAAAAGTAGGGCATTCAAACCTCCCTGGATAACGAAGGTAATTGTATCTCGAATGAAGCAGAAAAAGAAGGCATATGACAAACATCAAACCCAAGATACAGAAGACAACCAGATAGAATATAGGAAGTGCAGAAGAGAACTAAAAAAGGAAATAAAAGGGGCAAAAAGATTATACGAAAAAAGGTTAGCAGGTAACATTAAAGGGAATTCTAAAATATTTTACAAACATATCAAGAAAAAAAGGTTAGTCAAAGGTAGGGTGGGACCAATTAAGGACCAAGGCGGAAATCTTATTTTGGCAGCAGAGTGCATGGCTGATGTACTGAATGAGTACTTTGCATCTGTCTTCACAAAAGAAGTGGAAGCAACAAATGCCGCAGATTAGGAGGAGAGGGTAGAGGAAATGGATAGGATAAGTATAAACAGAAAGGAAGTACTGAAAAGGTTGACTGGGCTGAAGGTAGATAAGTCGCCCGGTCTGGACGGGATGCAGCCAAGGTTACTATGGGAAGCTTAACTACAATTTTTTCAATCTTCGTTGGACACAGGGGTGGTGCCAGAGGACTGGAGAGTGGGACTCCCTGTACAAAACGGGACAGAAGGATAAACCTGGGAACCACAAGCCAGTCAGCCTAACATCAGTACTGGGGAAACTCCCGGAGACTATAATCCGGGACAGAATGAATCTTCACTTAGAAGAATATGGGTTAATTAGGGACAGCCAGCACGGATTTGTTCAAGGTAAATCTTGTCTAACAATACTAATAGAATTTTTCGATGAGGTAATGGATAGGGTGGATAAAGGTAGTGCAGTTGATGTGGTTTATATGGATTTTCAAAAGGCATTTGACAAAGTGCCACATGAAAGACTTGTAAGAAAGATAGAAGCCCATGGTATAAAAGGGACAGCGGCAGCATGGATCCAGAACTGACTGGAAGACAGAGAGCAGAGAGTTGTGGTGAACGGCTGCTTTTCTGACTGGAGGGAAGTGTACAGTGGCATCCCCCAGGGATTGGTATTAGGATCACTGCTCTTCTTAATATACATAAATGATCTGGACTTGGGTATAGCAAGCACCATTTCCAAGTTTGCGGACAACACAAAGTTAGGTAAGGTAGTAAACAGTGAGAAGGATAGCAGCCAAATACAGGAAGACATAGACAGAATGGTAAAATGGACAGACACATGGCAGATGAATTTCAACGTGGAGAAATGCGAGATAATGCATTTTGGTAGAAATAATGGGTGGAGGCAATATAGGCTGGTAATACAATCTTAAAGGGGGGTGAAAGAACAGAGAGACCTGGGGGTTCAGATAAATGAATCCTTGAAGGTGGCAGGACAGGAAGATATACCTGTAAAAAGGGCATATGGGACACTAAGCTTTATAAATAGGGGCATAAGGTACAAGAGTCAGGAGGTTATGATTAACCTGTATAAAACACTGGTTAGGCCTCAGTTAGAATACTGCGCCCAGTTCTGGGCGCTACACTATAGGAAGGATGTTAAGGTATTGGAAAGGATGCAGAGGAGATTTACGAGAATGGTACCAGGAATGAGGGACCTTGATTATGAGGAAAGGCTAGTGAGGCTGGGATTATTCTCATTGAAGCAGAGAAGGTTACGAGAAGACCTAATAGAGGTCTTCAAAATCATGAGGGGATTTGATAGGTTAGAAAGGGAAAAACTGTTTCCACTGGTGAGTGTGTCGGTGACTCGAGGTCACAGAATTAAAATAGTATCTAAAAGAAGCAGAGGGGAGGTGAGAAGAAATGTTTTCGTGCAGCGAGTTGTTTGAATCTTGAACGCGTTGCCTGAAAGGGTGGTGGAGGCCGATTCGATAACAACTTTGAAAAACACGGTGAACGGGTATTTGAGGAGGAAGGGTTTGCAGGGTTATGGGGAAAGGGCTGGTGAGTGGGATTGATGTTACATTGCTCTTTTCAAAGAGGCGGCACAAACTCGATGGGCCGAATGGCCGAATTTTGTGCTGTTATGATACTGGCAGATATAAAAAGGAGTGTAGGAAGAACTTTTGGTGGTGAAAATGGGGCAATGGGGCAAGATGCGGTTGAAGCAAAAGACATCTATGTATATAAGAGGAGACTTGATGTACACATGAGGGAAAGGAAATAGAGGGGTACAGGAGAATTTTGAAATCCTGTTCCAAATTTGATATTTATTAGAATTGGAAAAAAAATCTTGGTATCTTTTAAACTAGCATTAAGATCACAAGAAAGCATGGAACAATTGGATCCCATTAAGCCTGTTTGTTCCACAGACAACAAAGACCTACCTTATTTATGATTAACTCCTAATTTGTATAATTATGCCTGTTCGTGATAAATAATCCAGAAAATTCATTGATCATATATTCATATATTGCTGTGCGCAATTGGCTGCTGTGTTTTGCCCACAAAATACACAACCACTACATGTTACAGTGTATTCTGTGAAGCACTTTGAGACGTCTCGAAGACGTGATAAGGAGCTATATTGAATGCAAGTATTATTATTATGTTCACTACTTAAATCTGTCTTTCATCCTTCCACAGACATTACTCTAACTCAAGCAATGGAGCATATTCCGTTCTTGCAAATCTGTAACTATCCATATATCTTCCAGTGTTGCTCCCAATCAGAGAGTTTGCAATTATTCAGATTTTGTTCTGTAACATTAGTTTGTGGTGAAAAAATTAGAATTTCCACTTGCACATATGTTTTAATTTTAAACCCACATCTTCCAGTTCTGCTCTCGGATGACCTGCTTATTCCCAGCATTACCATTGAAGGGCAGTAAGTTTACCAACTAGGGTGAATAATGTACTTTATTCTTTGAGGAATTAATCTTTCAAGCCTAATTTGACACCACAGACTGAAAATTGGAGATCCGCAGATTCCAGTGTATGAACTTGTATGAACTTAACTGTATGAACTTAACTGTATTTCTTTGCATATTTTCCATAAAAATGTTACAAAACTAACCCAAATTAACCCTTGTGCTGACACAATGTAAATGCACTCACAGACAGGTCACCAATTACAACCTTCAAAGCCCTCCATGGTCTTGCATCCCTTGTACCTCTGCGACCTCCTAACCCCTACCAATCTGCTTGCTCCCTCCGCTCAGCGGGCTCCAGCCTGTTTCACATCCCCCGCCTCAACTGCTCCACTAATGGCTGATGGGGGCCTTCTGCCACTCTACCCCCACCCTCTGGAACTCCATCCCGCAGTCCCTCTGCCTTGCCCCCTCCCTTGCTTCCTTCAAGACCCATCTCAAGACCCTCCTCTTCGACTGTGCTTTCAACCTCCCTGCTTCCCCCCACACCCTGACCCCGACCCCAAACTCAGGTCCAATGTGAAAGGCGCTATACAAATGTAATTTTGTTGTTTTTTTTCCTCAAGTCCTGTAAAAACTCCATGAGTTTCACTAGATTTCATACTTGGAATACAATTTCATGTTGCTCA